TGATCCACAACGAAAATCTCAGAGAGGTGTTCGAATTGCACACAGGAGTAAGACAAGGCTGGCCGTCTATTATCACCGATGATATTCTAATTGTGGTGGACCGGATTATGCGTCAGACTGTGGGTGGAAAGTGAGGAGACAGGAAGACTCTAGAAGATTTTGATTTCATGTATGGATGATTGATGTCTAATGTCACACAAACTCGAAGAATTACAGGAGAAGACTAACAAACTGGTTGAATAAGCGGCGAAGACAGGACTCTAAGTGAACATAGAGAAGAAGGAGGATATAAAGATAACCAACCATCCAACCAACAACAACAACCAACAGCAATCACCGTCAGTGGGAGGGATTTAGCAGAGGTTACCTCCTTTATTTTTCTAGAAAGCACGGTTTTAATCACAGACGGAACGGCTGAAGATGTCAATGTCAGAGTCGGAAAGATGAGATGCTCACTCGCCAACTTGAAATCAGTTTAGAAATCTTCAGCACTGCACCCAGCCAACGTAAACCACAAGATTCGCATTTTCAACACCAATGTCGAGTCGGTCAATCTATACGGGTAGGGAACTTGAACTAAGTGTCATGAAAAAGAATTTCCAACATGTCGCAGATTTTTATCAGCAGCTGTCACTTTCGCTAGCTCCATACTGAAGATCAAATTGCCGACCAGAAAGAATCAGCAGCAGGAAACTCTGGCTGGTAAAAAACCAACCAAGAACCGATCGTTCAATAAGTATGTGGGAGAAGATGGAGCAGGATTAGGCGTACATTTAGGAAGCAGTTGAATGAAATCGCGCGCAATGTAGACCATTGATCGAGTGGAATCCAAACGGAAGCGACGAGTGGTCGTCGATGCGAGTATAACATGCAGAATATCGTGTAATGAGGAGGAGATGAGAGATTATGGGCAGTCGTCATCCCAGTCAACTGAAGAGGACAGCAGAAAATGGAAGAAAGTGTAAATGTGTTGCTGAAGCCCTATGCTGCACTCGGAACCCAAGGGAACAATAAGAAAATAATAATAATAATATTGACTTCTAATACCTTGTTTGGAAAATATTCCAGTCTAATCTATGTTCTTTGTATAAACATACATTCAAATATAAGACTTTAATATCCTACACACTCATTCATCTAGTACGCTTTAGTTAGGAATAATCTAAACAAACTATAGAAAACTGCGTATCATTATACGAAATGTCACTGACAAATAAGACCAATTACTGAAAGTCGATTAAAATTCTACAGGCCTCCCAGCAGTTAACATTCCAATGGGAAAAACGTAGAATGTGAGCACTTTTTAATGAAATCTGTTCTGAGATAGCGAATTTTCTAAAGGGTAAAATTTTGAAGGATGAAATTCATCTAATTTATAAGTTGACAAATGGGTTTCTTGAGGGGGATAGTATTCGCCAAAGTTACGGGTATTTGACCTGAATAATGCTCACTGTGCCTATCATCATTTGTTTCTTTATTTTATTCCTTTATTTTCCAAGAGTAACATGAAGTTTAAAGCTAGAACTTTGAAGTTTCCGTAACAGTGGTTTTATTTATACTGAATGAGTTTGTTAGCTTCACGTCGAACCTTCCCCATTTACCTGCCTTGCTAGTGAGTTTGTGAGTGCGTCAGTGGCTGGGAATTGAATCCTGGGCCACGAATGTGTTTGGCGAGCATTCTATCACTGAATCACCGACTCTTAAACTTCATACACGAATCACCATTGCAGAAATAATAATGACCAGAAATAATTTGTGTTAAAAATTGGTATACTACTAAAATACAGTGAGTAACATGAATTCATCCATGAAATTCTAGTCCGACATATGCATGTGAACAAAATTTTCGGCAATTCCTTGTACAAGTCAAATCAAATTACATTGATAGTATATTAATACACCTTTCATTCAGCTAAATGAAAGGCGGTAGAAATATTTCAACTTTATAAAGCGAATGGTAACTGTGCGTCGGTGGCACAGTGGTTAGAACTCTCGCCGACCGTGCGCATGGTCCCCGGTTCGAGCCCTCGTCGACGCACACCTGATATCTATGGTCGGCCTGCGAATTTTGGGCTACCGATATACACGCTGAAAATTCCATACTTGTACCAAAAATACGGTGTGGAATCAAGCTGTAATCAAAAATAAAAAAATAAAAAAATAAAAAAAATAAAATTCAGCTGAAATCCGTAGTAAAGTTCAAAACGAGAGGCCGCAGATGCACGCGACTCACCTTCTAATCATTTTTTAAGTTCAAATGAACGAAGAGCCTAAAATTTTGAAAAGATATATCTTTTCATAACTTCATTTCACATCTGTGCAGTTATTTAGGAGTTTATACATACTACGGCAACTGACAACAGAAGACAGAGGTTACTGTCAGTTAGTAAAGAAATAAATCAAAGTGTGTGAGAAATAACTATGTTTGAGAAATTAAGAATAGGCTGACGTAACCAGGAGGGTAGACAACTACTTAGCTGAGTAATGAATAACAGATTTAAAATAACTGATAAGAAGCAAGAGAAGAAAAGAGGAAAACTGGGTTATGGGCAAAGTTAAACTTTAAGCAGCACTAACCAGCAATCAGTAAATGGCCTTGAAAGTACCAATCATGTGAAGGAGGCGTTTTTGTATATGGAATACATATATTTATGAAAAAATTGCATAAAAACTGTATAAAAGTGTTACAGAGGATAGCTTCCTCTCACATGGGATAAAAATAGTTCTCAGTTTTAGACTGGTGTATCAACAGAGTATAATTCGATTGTGGATAAAATTTATTTTGATAAAGTTTCATAGTGTTATAAAGCAATATTTACTGAGCAATAGATTGTGCTCGAAACATGGTCATCAGTAAATATTACTACTGTATAACACTGTGAGACTTTATCAGAATAAATTTTACCCACAATGGAATTAAACTATACCACACAGTGCGCGAGTTCTATTCTTATATCAACAGAGTAATTTAACCACATTCTATGGATGTAATTATTTAGGTCTTCTAAACCTAACAACAACCCTAATCTTTCCTGAACCCAATCCTAACGTGAAACTATCCCTAAACTGTCGCCCTTGTTAGATTAACCTAACCCTAACTTGTCCTTGGCTTAAAAGAGTAACTTAATCTTTCCCAAACCTAAGCTGAAACTTGCCAGATATTCTATTTAATAACATAATGCTTTGATAAGCATATTTCATTGATGATGACAACATTGTTTGCCGGATTCCTCTAACTTGCTCAGTGGGCTTTTTAAAGTCACTGGTGCTGTTGCACTCCGTTGGTAGTTAGTGGTGCTAAAAGTTTAACTCGGCCGGGTTGTGAAACATCAAAATAATTAAAGGTACTACATAGAGTTTATAAAAATGGATATTCAAGAAAACGAAAAGGGGGAAAAACAGCAGTAAAACCACAATGGTAAGAGAGGCTAGACAAAGCGTTTCTGAAAACATAGTTCAGGTTTCGCCTCAAAGATTGAGAAGGATTCGGCTGCATGAAGAAGAGGTAAATGAAGTATTTTTGAACGCCCAGGTCGTATTTTATATCTGAAAGAAGTCGCTGTTGCTGCTACAAGGCCAGAATTAAGAACCTGCTCCAGAATTGAGTTGTTGACGTTTTTGCGTTCTCCTTTTGATAATTTTGCTGGGAAATGTTCTTGGGCACATCCGTTCATCATCCATTATTTCTAAACTATTTTTCACCAATTAATTGTCAACCCTTTGATTGTAAAGGATTATCCTCAATGTTTCAGACATTTTGACAAAATAACAAAGTGTAATTTATCTGAAAAGTGTGTAATGCATTTGCACAACACACTTCGGATATTCTGATCACACACGTACTTGTAAAACACATTCATACAGAAAACGAAGAAGCATTAATGATTAGAATGTAAGTCAAATTGTTGACAGGTCAAGGTAAGGGGTAACAGGTAGGGAGATGATGTAAGACTATGGGGTAAGAAAAAGATAAAAAAGGGATATGTGAAAATACTACTGAGTATATTAAATATTGGTCTTAAAACTGGAATTCCAAGGCAGGTTCAGAGGAGTGACAGATAATTTCTGAAAGCATAAAACAGGTTTAAGCCTTTTTATGAATAAGCCTTCAATGAATCTAGGTGTGTGATCTCGATGGAAATTCAGATTACAGATGAGAAATAGTTGTCGACGTGTGTCTGAGGAATGTGTGAATACTGGTTGGCCATGTTTTGGTGGCCACTGAAAAAGTGATGACACAAGGGTTAAATTTCTACAAAATGTTGACACCTCACATATAAACGTAGTCTTTGTATACGAAGTGGTATGAATCACTTTGTTAGTGATTTAAACAGTATGCAATTTGATTGGTACGAGGGCTTCGTTATGAGCTGACATCAGCTAGAGAACTATTGGAAAACCTTGGAGTACTAGACAGGTGTTTCATCCTCGTTTGGGACTCTTCACAGTACGCACCCATACTGCGGGGTTTGAACCCAGGACCTTATGATGTGAAATTTATTACTTTTCATTCATTTCTTTCTTATTGCATAAAACTTTGGAAAAAACATTAGCTTTCTCAGGATAGAAAATATATCATCGTGGCTACTAAAGATAATCAGGTAGTTTTGATCTGACAGGACTGTCTAGCTTTTGACTCTTCACTTCCAATGACCTTTCTTCTAAGCACCTCTGCTTCACTTCTCGTGTGAAGTGACTGTATTCGCATCTGTTGTTCAGGTTTCATGCTATATTTTGAATTGATTTTCGTTGGAAAACATGACTACAAGTTGCAAATTCAATGAATGGCCCAGTCTAACTCTTCACATCTTTTTCAAGAGTGGTTAGTCCTAACGTTCAGACAGAAGTACAAACTAGTTTATTAAGATCAGTACGTTTCGAAAGAATAGAATATGAAGGTCTGAACAGTAGGAACATTAATTGTTTTTCAGATTGTTGACACTGCACAAAACACGCTTAGAATTGATGGATCTTCTGTTAATTAATTCTCTCTTTTTCAGTAACTATTCTGCTGGTTCTGTTTCTTGTATTCCAACGTGACAGTAGTTGGCAAAAGCCACTGAAAAGGGTTAGAACAAATGGCATCTGGTGTCCACCTATACCACCAATCTATGAGAAGACTAACCAAGTTGAAATGGTTGAACCTCAATCAATCATGTATTATACTGGAATAAACCCAACCGTTTCAGCAGAACCTACACCACCATCATCAATGTTAATACCAACAACTGTGAATACACCTAAAACTTCAAACAATGCATTCAAACAAGCACTACCGTCGAACATATTCAGAACTTATTTGAATCCATCTGTTATTGATGAGAAAGAAAAATTCCTCCCTCACAACTGGGGAAAGTATGAAATTGAAGGAAATCCTACCGGAGTCATTACAAATGAGGTTGGTTATCGTTTAACGAGCTTTTTCTTGGAGGTTTATTCGAATTATTACATGTCCCACTGGTTGTATTACGGATATATTGGACAACCTTTTATTGGTTATTTTGTCGTTTTTTTATACCTGCTTTCCTCTGAGATATTCGTACCCTAAACTGAAGGCTTCCTGAGTTTGTCTCTGATCGTGAAACACTATTCCACTTGATCACGTTTATAAAATCACGAGAATTCACTTGACGATGTGCTGAGAAGATCATTCCGTTCCTAGTGAAGCTTCACAGTTAACTCTGTATTCCTAATCAGTGATATTTCTCAAGCACGTCATATTTTTCTAATGTTATCAAAATGAGTTCCTTAGCTTATTGTGAAAACGTTTACAGACTCATGATGAAGCTTTAAAATTAAAAGAAGACTGGGTATTTCGCGGTGACATTTTGTAATAATCTAACTACGGTATATCACATTTATTGGAGGCTTTAAAAGTAGAGCGTAAAGTCACCAGATATATAGTGCTAATTGATTAGACTGTTTGTAAACAACTCAGGCCAATTAATTATTATTCCCATAATGGAATTATACTCTACCACACTGCACAAGTTTTATTCTTATATCAGTTAATTATTAGTGTCCAACGATCAAATAAGTGCAACACAGATAACTCCATATTAGTTTGTTCATTAGATATATCACACAGTGAAACAGTATTATTTACTGAATGACGTTTCAAGCAAAATTTATTGTTCATAATCATATCAATTACAAACACACAACTTCGAAAATTGAGTTTTATGTTTTTCTTTGTTCCCTCCTATTTGTCATCGTTGGGGTAGTAGAATTTTTCAAATATCTGGGACAGGTGCTGAATTATTCCTATTACACGTGTTTTTAGTTGATTCGATAAACAAAGCTTCCGTTATCAAGTTCTTATTTCACCTTGTGACATTAGATTTTAAAATTGTCATCTTATCTCATCCTATTGTATGGTTGTGTGTAACTGCATGTAGTGCTGTAGCTGAACTACTCCTAGATTTCTTATCTTATTCGACTTTTTACGCTCGGCCAGTCTGACTGCATCTGTTCTACTACTTTGACGTATGTATTTGATCTAACAATCATTACAGGGTATTAGATGAACTAAATTGTTTTGTTTCATTGGCTCCACAGGATACTTTAACCGACAAAGCTTGTTTCTAATTGAGTTTGTGTGTTTGAATGTTAAGAATTCTGTGTAAGGTTTCCGACGTTCCTTCTTTGTATGGAATTACTACTGATGATTTAGATTCCCTATTGTTGGTGTTGTCATTATCTTTCACATGTTTGACTTGCATGTCTTTATTATTATTATTACTAATGTTATTATTGTAATTATTATCACTGTAACAAATATTATTTTTTATTTGATATTTACATTTCCCTACAAACTTCTGACTAATTTATCAGGGTAATTATTAAGTTTCCAAGCTTCTCTTATATGTACCACTGCCTGTCTTAGATTTTCCTTGGTACTACTTAGCTTTTGTGCTCTGTCACTTAAACATTTCACCAATCCTATTTTTATTGACATAGCATGGGATGATCGAAAGTCCAAGTATCTTTTTGAATGTGTGGGTTTTCTGTAAAGACTAGTGTTCAACTTCCTACCTTCTTTCCTTTTTACTCTACAACCTAATATTTTTAGCTCCCCTTCCTGACTTTTCAGTTCATAAGTGAAGTGAATTGTACCCACCTTTGAATTAATGTGTTCGAAAAATACTGTTCCACTGTGTGATACATCTAATAAACAAACTAATATGAAATTACTTATTACTACAGAGCCCAAGTTTTACACAGATATCAACATAGGTAACATTTAACATCGTCAGTGTCTCATATACAGGAGGAACGGACGAGGATGTCATATCGAGCGAGAATCGGGAAGGGGAGAAACACATTCATCAACCTGAAATCAATCTGGAAATTTTCTTCACTCAGCATCAACAAAAAAATTCGGTAGGATTTTCAATGCAAACATCAAGTCATTCAGTTCTTCTATACGGATCAGAAACTTGGCGGGCGGGTCACAAAGAATATTTCCAACAGGCTAACTCAGATCTTTATCAACAACTGTCTTCGCTCTATACTAAAGATGAGATGACAGGGTCGGAAAGAATCCCCACGAAGAAACTATGGTAATAAACAAAACAAGAACCAGTCACCAACCATCAAATATGTAGGAGGAAGTGGAGATGGATTGGACACTCCCTGAGGGGGCCGCTAGGTGACATCGCGCGTCAGGCGAGTGCTCAATTGGAACCCGAAAGGGAAGCGGCGAGTGGGACGTCGGTGCAAGGGTGACATAGAGGAGATCGTGTGTAGAGGAGTTGAAACAGTATGGAATAACATGGTGCAGGTGAAAAGCGCAGCAGAGGACAGAAGCAAGTGGAGACGTGCAGTTGAAGCCCTATGCTCCACTAGGAACCCAAGGGAACAAAAATAATAATATTTATCCATTTATCCTGTCTACACTCAACCACAAGCGCAGTAATATATATTTATATATATATGCATTTGTATAATGGATTACACAGATGAAGATGTCGGATACAAGATAGACCTTCATTATTTCGAAGTCATTTTGGAAAACTAAAGCCCTTGGCATATGGAACAATACCCGAATCTTCAATACTAATTTCAAGTCAGTCAGTGCCTCAGTACGTTTCAGAAGAATAGTGTGTGCATCACGAAAGGTTTTTCTAACAGGCTGCTGCAGCCCTGGATTAACAGCTGTCTTCGCTCCACAAGAGAGAGATCATATGACCAACTAGAAAGGAAAAATAGCAAGAAAGGCAGGCAGTGAACCGACCAAGAATCCATGACCCAGTAAATATGCAAAAATTGGGGATGAATGGGACATGCATCGAGGACACCGTTGACTGATATCACCCAAAAGGTAAACTTTCGAGTGGAACTCCGATGCGAAACGACCAAGCATGATTATGTGAGGAGGAAAGGAAAGTGCAAGGGCAGACTTATAGCAATCTAAGAAGGACTTCAAAGAACCCAGAGAAATGGGGTACTACGCTGAAGCCCTATTTTCCACTGGGAATTCAAAGGAACAATAATTATACTAATGATAGTTATCATTTATACGGTACTCCAAGTTAGGTTTAAATTTAGGAGACTTTTTAATTTTAAAAAGAAATAGACATCAAAAAGTACACATTTATCCACTCCAAGGTGCTGTACTCTTCCCACTAATCTTTTCTTTCTATCTACATGACTTACCATCTTCAAATGACATTCACTTAGCTATCTGACTGTATGTTTGCCTGTGAAATGTCAAAGTGACTGCTCTAAACTAAATGGCTTTTTATCAGAAATCAGCCAATGGTCCAAGGAAAACGGTCTAAATGTCAAACAGTCAATTTCGCTTTTAGGCATAAATCTGACCTAAACAAACTGGTTAGCACTCACGAGATGTGCAACATAGGTGGCACTGAAATAGAGACCAAGTGGGAAATTAAATATCTAGCCGTCATTCTTTCTGCTGATCTTTCCTGGTCATCTCATATCTTGATGACTTCTAAGAAAATATTCCGTCTTACCTTCTAAATCAAGAAGTTAAGACATTCTGGAATAACCCAACCCTTACTCCTACGATTCATTAACTCTTGCATCGTGCCTATTATTATCTATTATTCCCCTTTAGTTTTTCCAGGGCTACTGAAGAAGGACTATATCTTATTATGTAGGGTGTTAAAGGTTGTCAGCAGGGTAAGCAGTGTGTCACTTAGCCAGCTTGTTAATATTCTGGTCGTCGGGCACATGGACTCATTGAAAAATGGGCTAAATCCATTTTATTTAACTCACACCACCCTCTTCATTCACAACTCTCCCCTGGTATTTCATCAGGCAAAACCAGAGGCCTATATAGAAAACTAGCAAGTACAAAAACTCAACCATACCGTATTTGGCACGTGTTATGTGTGATAAGAAAGCATTATAACTTAGTAAATGGTCAGTAGAACAATTGGATCTCGTCTTTCAGACTCATATCATTTATAGGTACAACGTTTTTCTTTCTTTCTTTTCCTTTTCTTTCACTCTTTTTCTTTTATGCACTGCTTTGTTTCTTTCTTCCTTACTAACTCTATTAAAACTTTCTTCGTTCTCTCACACTCTGTATATCTTGACCTTTTGTTACAGCTTACACCAGTAAATATGCTAGCACCTACTTTTCTAACACCTTCGAACACTGTTCAATTTTGGCTTTGCTACCGACATGCCAATATGTTGTTGGCATAATGAACTGACATTACCTTAATCTATGTAGAATTTTATTTATTGTTTATGTACTAACCGGATGCCATACTGTAGTGAAATGCTGAGAATTCTATTCTGTATCACAAGTACTGTTTTGGAATAAAGCAAATTGTTATTATCATTACACTTTGTATTCAGTTTTCGAAAATAAGTGTAGAAATTGATTTTTCTCAGTCTATAAACCAAAATCTTTGAATTTTACAATCACAAAACATTCTTACATGCTTTGTTATATTGCATATCATCAAACTTCATTCAGACTATGCTAATTGTATATTCGCACTTACTCATCACAAATGTGTCACAAAAAGCACCAGATTTTTCTATCATATCTGAATTAATTATGTTAAGTATTAAGCTGAATTTAACAGTTAGTGTGAAACAGAAAAGTTTATTTGATTTCGAAAAAAAAAACAGTAGATAAATAAGTTAGCATGATGTAAGCCTTATAGTTGGTGAGAAAAAAACCCGTTTAAAACCTGACTACTTACTATGCTTTAAGTAGTATCATTTTAGAACAACAAGTCGATCTGTTTGAAATTAGAACAGCCACTGAATGAAAACCGAAAGAAAATGTTGTTCTGAATGAATTCCTCAAAATAAGCATCGTATCCTTCTTTCTTCCAAAATGTTGTTCCACATATTACAATATTATTTTATTTCGTTTGCAAGAAATGTTTTCATGCATAGCAGTATTCTGTCACACTATTTTTTGTATTTGATCTACCTAAGAAAGAAGCATGTTATTAGACAAAAAAGGAGTAGAATTCATTTACTGTTTGGCTTAGCACACACTGGCAACACACTATGTACCGAGGACAGTTTCGGTAGAGACTGGTACTCATGTTCACAGTATACATCTGTGTAACTCGATTTGACTATGATATAGACAAAATAAGATGAACACGTGAATGAAAACAATAAGCATAACGCTATATATTAAAATTTAACTATAATGACATACTAATATTCGTCCAAAATTAATGAAGAAATAATATGAATGAATGACAACAAAAAGCGTCCGATTCTATCCCTAAAACGTTGGGATAGTGATTATCACTAGTAGATGTTTGGTAATATCTTACATTTCACTGAAATTTTCAAATGAATATAACATTAACAGAAGCCCGCTGCGACAGGCAACGGGCAATAAGGAAACAGGCCTAAAATAAACTCACACAAAATCTTGGGGGATCTGGCCTTGCCAATGATTATGTCTGATTTCCCACAAACTGGAACATATGCAAGTGAAAAGGAACAAGTTGGCACAAGAAGCATCCAGGGAAGATGTGACTTCAGGTGAACATAGAGAAAACAGAGGTGATGAAGATTCCTGGCCAACAACAACAGACAACAACCAGGATAGATTGGAAGAACCTGAAAGATACAACCTTCTTTACCTACTTTGGAGGGATCATTTCAACTACAGGCAGAACTGAAGAGGATATCAAAGCCAGAATCGGGAAAGCAAGACAAGCTTTCATTACTTTCAAGTGTGTGTGGAGGTCAACAGCACTCAGAATCAAAAGTAAGATCCGGATTGTCAACTCCAATATGAAGTCAGTGCTACTCACCACAGAGATCAGAGACTTGCACTGCGCGACATAAAGAGTACCTCAAACAAACTGCAGACCTTCATTAACAGTTGTCTTCGCTCAATACTCAAGATCAGATGGCCAGAACAGATCAGCAATAGTGAGGTGTTTCTGGGAGCGAACCAACCTGGAACCGATTGTGAAACAAATAGGCAGGAGGAAATGGAGATGGATTGGATTGGCCATACTCTGAGAAACCACCAGGTGACATCACTAGACAAGCCATCGCTCGAGTGGAACCCGAAAGGGAAGCGGCGAGTTAGTCGTCAATGCGAGGGTGACATAGAGGAGGTCATGTGAAGAGGAGATAAAAGCGTGTGGGCAGACTTAGAGCGGGGTGAAAACTCTAGCAGAGAACCGAACGCAACGGAGTCGCGCGGCTGAGGCCTTATATTCCTCTAGGAACTAAAGGAAATAATAATAATCCATTCTATTTGAATGTCCTATCAGGAATTGACCAGAACTATTTGAAGGGTTGATCTAACCTGAAAATGCAACTAACGTACCAGTGATTTAAAAATATTTGTACGGAAAAGCCATTAAGCAGGGCTATAGTTTAGTTGATCGTTTTGTGCTTACAGAATAAAAGAATCATCTGCTTCGGTGAAGATAACTTTTTCAGTGGTTTTATTTTCTACATATACAAATTAGCGGGTTTTTTTTCTTAGAGGGCAAAGTAACGGACACAATAAGTTGTCACTAGTCTGAAGTATCACTGAAGTGTCTAGAGAGCACCGACTCAACACAGACTTCTTAGTGTGTCAGTAGTTGGACCAAGGAGGTTGTGTGCAAAAAAGTCACACTGAGGAAAATGGATCTTTTACTGAGAGGTAACTAGTTGCTTTCCTAGCTTCTTATCGTAGTGAACATCATGTTTTTACAGGAGGCATCGCAAGAATTATTAGCAGTGGAATTCATTGAAATATAGGCAGCAACTGGAGAACTTTAACTTAATTTGCGTGTAATAGGTACACAGTTGTAGAAACTTTCCAGTTGATTGTCCAAATTCGTCTTTTTATAAGGAACTCTCATGGAGTGAAGATCATCTTTCTATTTCATATATCCTTGAAAGTTGGATATTGAATCATCTTTCCTGTTATAAGTAGTGGAGCGTCCGTCATTCACATGCTTTTTATGAAGGTCTGTAATTTTTGTGACTGAATGTTAATTCTACATTAAAGCTGCAATTTGCAAAAGTTGCTTAGGGTGTTTGTTTTCTTTCTCAGTGTGAAAACTGTTATTATCTGTAGAATACACATAAAATGCAGTTTCCATAGGTGTTTTAATAATAAAATGGTTCTAAATGTCAGGTATGCACATGGAACATTTATGGTTCAGTGGCTGAATGCCCACCAACCACACACATCGTCTGGGTTCAATATATGGCTGACGCACTCCCAAACCTCACTGAGACGTCAGTAAACCTAGTAAGGAGGGAAGATTAGTCATGGGTCTGGCGTCCATATCTCGTAAAAATTAGATAACACTGCCATTGTTGGAACTACAAGGCATAGCACTTAAAGCTGTATGTTCTACTAAAAACTCAAGGGAATGAAATGTTAAACATTTATGTAAAGTTGGTGGAATTAAATTCTCTAGAGTGACAGCTAAATAAAAAATATTTGTCTTCTAACAGGTTCTCGAGTATCATATTTCTTTTTTCTAATGAATTGATAATGAGACACTTGTGGAAATAGTTAAGGTATTTTTCTTTCCCATAAACTCATGGTATTAGTAAACCTATAGCCTGATCTTATCTTCAACTATTTTATATGCCTGTGTCTTTAAAACAAAGCCATTTTTCTCTATGGATTTTCATGTCATTTTCTTCATTTCAATCAACTTGGGCAAATCTTTTTTGGTGGTTTCGTATGTGTCAGTAAAATACTGTTCAACTATCTTGAAATTCGATATCAACATAATGATCAAGATATGCACTATAATATTCAGTTAGTAATTGTATCCTGCATATCTAGATGATTAAATGTATAAATCGATTATTTGATTTTCGTTACGAATCAACATGAGTTAGAGAAAATCGTAGAGAACTGTAGAACAGTAGGCAGCTCTTTCATCCCTATAAGGGACTGTCTGGCAGTATACCTCCACGACCCTATTGGGGTTCAAAACCGAGACCTTCATATTAGGAGGGGAAGCTAGTTGGTCATGCATCCACTTGCTAGAGTTCAACAGCTCATCAATTCTGACTCCTGTCGGTAAGTGATTTAGCGCCACCAACAACTAATGCCATTGATAAGAAACCACTTTACCTTGGCACAGTAGACCCCATTTGCCACTGACTTCTCATTACATTTTCAGGACATCCATATGTGGTTCTGTACTGTTACAGAGCTTCATAGTAGGACTAAACAAGTTGTCCAGTGCTCACTGATTTTTAATGACTCTCTAATTGATGTTGATACTTGATAAAATCTACAATGGAATTAATCCGATTCCTTGCAGGACCCGTAATGCCAGCCTATTAATATTTTAATGTTTCCTTCACGTTCCCAGTGGAACATAGGGCTTCAAGCTAGAGACTTGAAGTTTCTGTAGGTGTGTTTATTTTTACAGGATGGGGTTGCTAGCCTCATGCCAAACCTTTTCTCTTTACCAGCAATTTTTCTGGCTTACCGAGGTAAAGGAGTGCACCGGCCGAAGATCCAGCCCCGGGCCATGTGCATGGTGGCGAGCGTCCCAACCGCTATGCCACCGACGCTTATGACAGCCTTAAAGCACACCCAGTAGAATTATACAAAAACTTTATCCTCAATGTCGAAGTAGCCAGCCTATTAGATGTTAAAAAAACAAAAACAACTGAGAGAAGTTACAGTTTCTTTAAGCTAGTAGGATGTCAAGTGTCTTCGTATCAATAGGTCGAAACAATTTTTATTCACTCACATGTACAGTCTAATTCCGCGATTTCTGATACTCTTTTACTACTCACAAGTAGTATAATAAAATTGCAACATATTATTGCATATACGTAAAATCAAATGTTTTATTTTTATTTTTTCTTAGATTCCAAATACCGATTTTGAATGGGTTGACGGTTACTCTCCACCTTGGAAGAAAAAATGTTCTAATCAGGTAAAAAGTGTTTAAAAATACAGAAAAAATTTACCAGTATAGATGTTTCTTAATTTTTACATTTTGTTTTAGTGAAAGTTTGTGTGTTAGTTTTGTAGAGGCATTTTAGAGTTGAATTTAATCGCTTCAACTGTCGCCAAAGTTTACCACAATCTATACCTTTCAGTTCATCTGGAAGACTAGTGAATAATTGTTCGCTTGCTTGTCTTATTTTAGGAATTTCATCGCTCACTACTATTAATGCATACAGCAAATGCTAAGCTAATCTTGTTGCTTATGACAGCCTTAAAAGCACACCCAGTAGAATTATAGAAAAACTTTACCCTTACTGTCGAAGTAGGGAAATCTGTTTCACTGCTGATCAAACACTAGACAGACTCTCGAGTAGAACCCTCCTGGGATACTATGTATTTGGGAAATGCACAAGGGTGACATGAAAAGGATCATGTGTAGGAGAAATGCAAACCCTTGAAGAGTCATGAAGCTAGCTGAAAGTGATATCAGAGAACGCATTGGCATGAAGACGTTCTAGCTAGCCTCAGTTCTCTTCTTAGAACATATGAAATGAATAACTGGGATAATAATACGCTAGTTTACCTTTATGACCATCAACAAAAACAATTATTCTTCATAAATTTATATGTGTCGATTTTAAAGAAGATAAAAGTGTACTTCATTCTATTCTTATACATATGTCTTATAAAATGTATGTCTTATTTTCAAACCTTAAGACGATCTCAGTGGACACAATTTCGCTCTGGGCAACCAATAAGCAAATGTTTTATAACTTAAAATACCTTTTGACCATAAAGCAATGTCATAAATATACAAAAAAAAACAAGTTTAATTCCTAATGTAGCGGGTGAAGTATGATTTTGTAAAGTGTTAGTCATCTAATTTCAGAAATACATAGAATTAGAAAATAGAGAGTTTAGTGAAGAAAATTCTCTTTTCGACGACTTCATTTTCATAGCTGTACAATATATATATATATATATATATATATATATATATATATATATATTCAGGCGTTAGTTTGCAGGGTTAATATATGTGTAAAACTTGGGCACTGTGGTATTAAGTAATTCCATATTGGTTTGTTTATTAGATGTATCACACAGTGAGTGAAACAGTATTATTTACTGCATATTGGTTTGCAGGGATTTGACTGGTTCAGGATTTCATCATGAACTGAGGACCATTGGAAAACCTAGGAGTTATGGACGTCTATTTCGTCCAAGTTTAGGACTATTTAGTAGCACTTACCCAGGACCTTCCGGCTACAAGGCGAGCTGGTGGACCATTTAGCCACTGGTACTCGATCCAATGGTCTCTGAATTTTAGCTTTTACCAATTCACGATATGCCATGACCATCAGCGAGCGTCATCTCTAGCGAATATTTGTCCTGACACCCGACCTACTGTACCCAACTCGTCATGACTTCCTACTAGAACCTACCTGAATACATATATATATATATATACAGCTATGAAAATGGAATTGTCGAAAGGGAAATTTCCTTTTCTGATTTCTTTGTTTTTATGTCTCAATGAGGATTATCAATTTAGCATATAAGTAGCTTGCATAATATATTCTTATATTTTGTATATATATTATAATGAAAAGTAAGCCACACAGGTTTTTCTAATTTCCTACTTTTAATAATGACTAGTTGAAGAGATCCTTTTAGGCTAAGGTGCAGTTTATAACCCAATAGAAGATCAAAACAAGTGATTCAGCAAAGTGTCACCTTTTAGGCGATTTGTTCTCAAGCCTTACAATCGTATGCATATATGTGATTTTTGTCAATAATATTGTGAACTGTGACAAAAAATATAACCATTTATGTACCTTGTAAAATAGTAGATAATATGTATGAATCTCAAACGGGGTTGTGGAAATAATAGATTAGTAGACCATTAAAACATTACTTGAAGTATTTCATCATCAGCTGACATCAGTTAAGGAACCATTGAAAAACCACCTGAGACTACTACACAGCTGTTTCTTCCATCCTAGTTTGGGACTCTTTAGAAGTATGCACCAATCACAGGGGTTCTAACCCAGGACCTTTTGGTTACAATGCTAGCGAGCTTGTATACCATTCACTCAGCCACTGTGACCCGATCAATGGCCAGACCATGAATTCTAACTTCTGCCAATTCATGACATAACGTGACCACTTCTCAATGTCTTTTTCAATGAGTTACTGCCTCACCTTCAACGTGTCGCACCCTACTTGTCACGGCTTCTCACTGGAACCCCAAATCACTACCTGAATAGGACCAGTTGCTAGTGTGCATCAGATCAATTTTCAAGTATTGGTTTAGTAGGGATTTTGTTAACTCGTTAGAGGATTCATCATTAGGTGACATCGGTTAGATAACATTAGAAAACAAGCAGGGAGTACTGGACAGCTATTTCGCCCTAGTATGGAATTGTTTTCCGATGGTTGTCTAAATGGTGTCAGCTAAGTGATGAAATTCTCCAACCAATCAAACAAAAGCCCTACAAAACCAATAGTTGAGCATTGAAAACATCACACAACAAGGTGACAATTATGGTAAGACAACAATGAAAAAATTATATTGAATTAAATGAACAAAGGTGACATGTTAGGTAATATCGAAAACTGTTCAAAGAGAAATTAATAATAACAATCGAGGGAGGATATGGAAACTAAATAAGCAAAACGAAAAATAAGTTGATCCAAATTATGGATAGAGATTATCATACTTTAACATAGACATATTTTCTGTTCAACAGAGATATACCTTTTGCTGTTCTGATAGTCAAAGTTTTAGCAATACATATGAGTGAGATACATAATGATTTGGGTTGGTTATTTTTGCGTTGTAAACAACTTCAAGGTAAACATCTACGGAAATAAAGTGATCAGGATCTACTAGGTGTTCAATTATAGCACTTCCTATAGCCCTACTTCCACTTTGTCATAGTCATGCGGGAGAGTGTTTTCCTCCCTTCTCTCTGGGTGGAACCCACGTTGAACAACCAATATACCTAGTTCCACAGTCACATATATATTTGTCTGTATAGATTTCGAATAAATTCGTTGAAAAAAGACTCTTCGGTGAATCACTTGTTTTGATTTTCTGTGTCCTAATAGGAATCAGTAGTTTACTGTCTCTTGAAAGCCGTCTTCAGAATGAAGAATAAGTTTATCAAAGATGTCTTACTGTTTGTCCTATTTGGCCTTCATAGTCGTATAAGCATTCTGATGATATTATATGGTGGAAGGTAGTCGACAGGAAGCCTTGCTTGATTTAGGTTTCGTGCAAGTTGGCACTCGTCAGCAAGGGGTATCTGCAATTTTGAAGGAACACATGTCCCTTCTGATATTCAAACACGCGTCGCCAAATACTGCAGTCAGAGACGTTACCACTGAGCTGTTCGCGCTCGCGACTGACCTACTATAAGGCTGCCGATTGTCTCTAGCCATCTAATATCATCCAATCAACGTGTACCGTGATGGCCAGCTACCTAGACTGGTGGCCAGATTGCAAACCTGACTGATAGAATTCAATCTGCACCAAAGAAAGGACTAGATACATCACACTAACCAGTAATGTTCAATAAAAGTATATAAGCATTCCATATAGCCATCTCAATATTGCCAAAGAATTCATTTTAGAATGGTTTTTCTGTTACTTTTATTGAATCGAATGAAGACTAACTAAGCGCTGTTTAGAAATACTTTTGCTTCTTTAGTTATCTCTATAGTTTGGTTTGTAAGGGTTAGTCATGCTTTTACGAGTTGATCACGGATTGATATCATTTAGAGAACCATTAAAAACCAGCAGGGAGTACTGGATTGCTGTAAAATCAATCGTAAAAAACATAACTAACCCTTACTAACCAAACCATAGAAAATAAATCTGATGCTCGTTAGTGACTTGCTACAGGATGGAGTTTCCTGGAGTTCTAGTGAGAAGTCGTCACCAGTGAGGTCCACCCAGATGTCACGTGTGAGGACGGATGTCCCACCGACGACATTGGATGGGGTAGCGCTACATCACGAATTGGTAGAAGTTAGAATTCATGGGCTGGCCATTGAATTGGGTCCCAGTGATGGCTGAATTGTATACGAGCTCGCCTTGTAACCGGAAGGTCTTAGGTGCGACGATTCCCAAACTAGGATGAAACAGCAGCTGTCCAGCAGTCCCTGGTTTTCAATGGTTCTCTGATTGATATCAATCCGTGCTCAAATCTTTAGTTATTAAATATAATGCCTGAATTAACATACCGTGCAGCGTTGGTTGCTCAGTGGTAGAATGCACGCCAACCACGCATGTGATTCGGGGTTCGATCCCCGGCTGACACACTACTTTACCCCACTAAGTCTGTAATAGAACCGGTAAAAAGGAAAGGTTGTACATAAGGCTAGCAACTCATCCCGTAAAAATAAACACCACTGCTACCAAAACTTCAAGCCTCTAGTTTGAAGCTCTATGTTCCACTGGGGATGTAAAGGAATAAAACCCAAAACAGGACTGTCACTTAGATCGATATTTCAATAAAATCTATTATTACCATAGAATGTCTAACAGCTTTTAAACCTAAACTTATCCTAGAGCCAGTTTTTCTAACACGTATCAGCGAAGCGCTGTATGAATTTCTTATCAGTTTAGCATCCCTTAAAATTTGCGGGAAAATTTCCACTAGAATAATTAAAACTCACTGGACTTTGTATATCATGCGAGTGAAAATACTACGACAGGCTGTATTCAAATAAGATTTTGTTTGGATGGATGCGCGTGATTTCATGGGTAAATATAATAATAATAATCATAATAATACTCACAACAACAAAAACTGATTCTTTGTGACAAAACGTTTGCTTATGCAGAAGAGGAAGAAAGGAGGAGGGAAAGACTGTTAAATTTTAGGAATATAATCAATAAATTTAGGCTTTTTCAGAAGACAAGGGTGTCTGAAAACCAGTTTTCAGTTGGATCACAATAATGGGCGAATTAAGTTTACACTTATTTTGAATAGGATATTTTTCGCCTGTCTCAAAAATAATATGTGGATAAATATATATCCATTGTAATAGGAATATACAAAGCGCCATTGAAACATTATAGACTTGCGTAAAGAAGTTTTAAATTTTTAAAGAGAACGCTCCCTCCACACACTTTCAAAAGGTTAAATGAACTTGTTAACCTTAGGTGTAAAATTATCGTCGAACGTAACACGTTGAAATTTTATGAATTATGTATCAAAACTCATTCCATCCCGAGGCAATTTTATAAAACTTTGAAATTCAGTAAATTACAACCAAATATCCCTAATCTCGTTCGTCACATATCAAAATGTTAAACAAACGTTACAGGGACTACTTGTTCTTCATATCGATGCGTCACTTATTTAATCTGAATTATCAATATTATGCCACATGAAACTTCTTCAGTTTTGTAAAGACGTTACTCAGAAAACAAAGATGAATATACAAAATCAGTTGAAGAGTTCAACTGATGATCGAAACCGCTTGGGTGTCTTTCCGGTGAACCCTGATAAGTTTGTTACAAATATACGCTTCATTCAAGATTGACTTATACTTAAGGGTGATGGAGTAAAGTAAAGTAAACTCGGTGAAAAGGGATAAGAAAGGCATAATATGACATAAAAAATATTCTCGATTACCTTATAGTAGGCCAGGGTGAAAAAAGAGGATGACTTTGGTTGTTTGCGCACATAGGTTAGATTACTTTCTATTAACCTGCATCGTTTCAGTCGTAGCTAAGAGACGTATTCGTTTACCTTTAGGTGGATTGTTTGATACTCGGCACACAACTGTAAATGACTCATCTATTTTGATATAAATTTTACATGCCTTTAATGTTTATTTGTATTCTAATATTCATGGGTTTATAACTGAACAGCCTGAGGAAGAATTTATTGAAAACAGTTGTTTGCTCAAAATCCTATTTTAGTCAAAAACACGTGCTTTAGTCCATTTGACTTACGAAATATCCGTAAATTTCTTCTACTATCACAACGTAATCTTTTATGTTGCAAGTGAAACAAAGAGCTCCTGGAGTACATCTCTAGTCGATTTCAGTTCATGATGTATAGAGTCAACTGAACGTCTTTTCAGTATATGTTGAAACCATTTCCATTCCCTTCAGCATATATGTGTTGGGTAGTGGATTCTTAGTTCGTTCCATTTCAGCGTTTTTTGGTGCTTTTTCCTACAGCCAGCCATCTGATCTTGAATATCGAGTTAGGGCAGTTATTACTGAAAGCCTACAGTTGTCTACTGGTGGCGCGTACACATCAAACCATAGAATAGAAGCACTGGTTGGCTTGAAACTACCGTTAACATTTGCGATCTTCTTTCTTATGATAAGTGCTATGTATTTTTGTACTCATTGAAGGGTAATGATCGGGTGTATTGCTTTCCGATCCTATATGGTTTCGATGCTCTCATCTATAAGTATATAACATTACCTTTAAAATATTGAGACAACACGGTGAAAACATTATAAATTGCTAAAACGCTTGTATAGCACAATGTTTCCACGGCAGTAAATATAAAGTTATCCGTGTGGATAAATAAAGCAGAACCTTTTTGAAAGCGAGCCTTTGCAGAAACTATATCACAAAGTGATATTAGTCAGAAAACCGCCGAAAACCAGAGAGAAGTGGACAGCGAAAGAAAGAATCCATGGAGTATTTGATTCTTTACTTTATAAGAAATACAAACAGGAGCGAAACAGCTTCCTAGGACTTATGGTCTTTAATGGTTATCTAAGTAATATCACTTCGTGTAATATGACTCAAAATCAACCACATCGTAGCAAGCGGGAGTATTTAAAACTCAAAATCTCGGAATATATACTAAGTGAAGGGTTTTGTGTAGAAAGAAAGTATCTTTAATGGACAGTTTTTAATAGAAGTTTTTTCTGTTGCTTTGTCTTCCCAATGGAACATAAGGCATCCAGCTTTATGCTTTAAGGTTTCGGTAACGGTGATATTGTTTTACCAAGTGGGGTCGTAGCCTCGCACCTAACCTACCGTCTTTACCGGGCTTACTATTGGCTGAGTATGGCTAAGAGTCCCTGACCACTTGATGTAGATGGTTGATTACTAGTCTACCAAGAAACTACCAACGCACCTGCGTGACAGATGTAGAGTATACTTTCCAGACTAAGTTTTCCATGTGTATAACGGCAAGATACCAATTCTGTTGCCAGGCTTTTCTTTTGATTAACAAGTCGAGTGACATAATTAGATTATTCACTTGTTGGCCTAATGAAATGCTCGGGGATATCAAAATTACTTTACCTTCATGGATAACCACGACTCGATAAATATCCACTGAAATGTTGTCTTCTTTTATTTTGACTCTATATAGAAGAATGAATATAAACAGTGATGGCAACAGACAATGTAGTATAGATTTTAGGCATGTAGCAATACTACTGTTTTCCCTTCTGAATTCGTCCCACTGTAACTGACATTGTCTTATCACTACTATCTGCGAATATGCTTACGACGATAACACACTTTCCATAGTGTTGCTTTATTTCCATGTTAGTTTGTTTATTAGATGTATCACACAGTGAAACAGTAGTATTTACTGGATGACAAGGTTTCGAACACAATTTATTGTTCACAATCATGCCATCAATTATAATCACACGACTTCGAAACTTAAGTTTTATTTTTTTCTTTGTTCTCTCCTATTTGTCGTAGCGATAGTAGAATAATAATAATAAAATTAATGGTGAAATGCTTGTCAAACCTGCGGAAGACAACACCAACCATAAGGAATCTCAATCATCAGTACTAATTTCACACAAGGAATAAAAGTGGCATTCAAACCAACCACAAACTCAATTAGAAATAAGCTTTGTTGGTTAAATGATCCTGTGGAGCCTTTAAAGAAAAACAATTAAGTTTATCTAACACACTGCTGAAATGATTGTAAGGTCAAAGACATAGGTCAAAGTAGTAGAACAGGGGCAGTCTGACTAGTCGAACATGAAAACCCAGCAAAATGTAGATTACCTGATCCGAATAAGATAAAAATCTAGGGAGTAGTTCAGCAATAGTAATACGTGCAGTGACACCCAACCACACAATAGGATAGGATGACAGTTTTAATATCTGATGTCACAGGGTGGACGGAGAGATTGATAATAGAAGCTTTGTTTATCGAATCAACTGCAGATACATGTAATAGGAATGATTCAACAACTGTCCACCCAGATATCTGGAAAATTCTACTACCCCTACGACCAATAGGAAAGGGTAAAGAAAACTATAAAACTCAAGTTTCGAAGTTTTGTGATTATAATTAATATGATTATGAACAATAAATTTTGTTCGAAACCTTGTCATCCAGTAAATAATACTGTTTATCCACGGTATGATACATCTAATAAACAAACTATTATAGAATAAAATACTACCACAGTGCCCAAGTTGCTTCACTTGGTTTTTCATCTCTGATGTCATCAAAACATTTTCGTCCAATGTTTGCTACATACACACTTCTCTCCTGCTTAGTTATACCTCAAGTGGGAGTTTTTCTCAAACCTCACGTAACATTTCATAATTCAATCCAAATTTATTTTTCAAATTTTATTATTTGGCCATATTAAATCATCTAAAATGATGTTAGTTAGTTAATTATGCTTGAAAATCGTTTGATTTCTAAATCTTTTTTATGTTTTGTTTATTGTTTTTTTTATTCTGTCCCCAATGCAATAACAACATTTTAGGACGACATAGTGGAGGATTTCTTATCCGACAATAGTATGAATTTGTTTACTTCACCAAAGTGTTTGGACAATTACTTTACGAAACAAGATGAAATTTATAGTTGTGGAAAAAAACTGGAAGAGAAATATCAACAAAGAGAGTGTCAACTGAAACTTGCGGAAAGAATTGATTCCTCTATGTTTATGCCAAATCAAACAGCTAAGGATTCAGAAGTCATCGATGTAAATAAAAATGCTACAAATGTCATTGGTAATAATGAAATAAAACAGGTTATTGTTGGTGTTGATAATTCTGTAAAAAAGGAACTTACTGAAATCATCACAACAATGGATGGTTTACATCCATGCAATACCGTACAACACAACCAAATTGAAAACCTCTTAACTCTATACAATAAACAGGATAAATGTGAAGACAAATTTATTGATCACAATAAACCTATAGAATATTTAGATGAAAATTCATCGAAGCCATCTATTCCACAAGACCATAATATCCTGCATTTAGCAGCTCATATGAATGCTGGACATGATGTTATCTCTAAAATATGCCATAATGTACATGATCAAGAATCTTTTAACACCTTTTATATCGATTCATCGGGTAGAACAGCACTGTGTAACGCTGCAGCAGCTAATTCTTTAGAGTCGATCAATTCACTTTATCATTTGGAAAAAGAAGTACTTGCCAGTAAAAAATTAGTCAAGTGCCTTAAATCAAATCAAAATTCTGCATTGAAATCCAGCTGTCGTTCAAGAAAACGTTGTCAACCGTATGAATCAGGTCAGTGTACACCAATCATAGCAGCTATACAAGCAGGAAATGATGAAGTAGTTAGACTATTGTTAGACGAAGGTTGTTCATACAATACAACTGATCAATATGGACGTAATGCTGTGCACTGGGCAGCAGTAACTAATTCTATCACAGCGCTGAGTCGTTTAGCACAGTGTAAAGGTTTTGCTAGACTAATGAATATGAAAGATGACTGGGACAGAACACCAATCATGTTGGCTATACGTGAAGGTTGTGAAGAAGCTGTAGAATTTCTTCTTGAGAAACAAGCGAAAATTGAAGTCGTCGACTGTATGGAAAATGACTGTTTATCATTGTGCATAGAAAAAGGCTACGGAAAGATACATGAATTACTTTTAAACTATATCAGATCAAGAGGTTTAGATTCAAAGTTGGCAATAGACGATAACAATATAAGGTTGACTGATGGAAATCCTGTTATACGTAAAAAAGAAAGAACATTAATGTCAGCATTAGAATCAGAGCATACAAGAGTCCCTATGACCACAGAGATGAATAATCCATCGACAGGATTAGCACAGTGTGGACTAGGCCAGATAACTGGACTTGACTGGGTAAGTTTAAGTGATAACACAGATTCAGAAGAGATGAGTGATTGTGATAGGTCCACTGGAGACGTGGACGAAGAGGACGATGAAATTACTCCTAAAGTAGCCAACACAGACACACATTCTTCATCGCCGTCTGGATATCTATGATGATGCATCATTTTTTAACAGATTACGTATACTTATAAGAATCGGAAGGTTAACAGAGTTATGGGAAGTGTAATGTAACTTAGAAATATTTTGTTTTTACCACACCGGTCTCTGCTATACAAAGAATATATTTTGATGTATTTATATTTTTGCTAGATAATAAGGGCTTTTTCTACTGTGTAACGCTTTTTGTTTATTCATATTATCTTTGTATATTGTACCTAAAGGATATTTCTTGTGTATAATAAACTTTTTTAACTCATGAATATAATTCGTTACTACTTATTAAAAGGTAAATAGTAGTATATACACCGGTAAAAGTAAAACTAACGAATATATATACCATAGGTCTGTAAAAACTGCTTGAAAGACCTAACTGTGAATACTGGTGAAGAAACAAAACAAAGTAACAAAGATGGAACAATTCAATTTAGACTAGACTACACGCCACGACATGAAATTTGAATATTTCTCATTTTCTAAAGGATAATTAATAATTACTGCAGGAAACACACCATCATACTAACTCTGCAGTTAAGTGGTGCAGTGCTGAGGTTTTTTCACTTTCTAATTAGTGGCCCAATTTTTGCTTTTGTTGTTGACTTTATTGATGGATATAGCAGATTATGCTTTTTGCATAGTTTTTTATAGTGTGATCGGTTATTGAAAAAAAACTATGCTAGATAATGTCCTCTGACTGATTGATCTCAACGACGATGAAACTGATCGACATTTAATTACCAACCCACATTGTGATCTGAATAACCTGAAGATGATTTTACAATAGAATGACACGAGCTCATATTCAAGAAGGGGTGGATGAATTGTCTTTTCTTTTGGTGTTGTAGAGAGGAATTTTCAGTGAGTATAGATAAGTGTGATGTCTAAGTAAAAGGCCTTTTTATTCAGGATTGCCTCCTAAGGTGTAGCAGGAAAATGCAGCTATTCCTAGACACCCACTAAATACTTGTTTCGCTAGAATATAGATAGAAATATATTGAACCTAGGCTGGGAAGACATTCAGATGAAATGGCACTCAAGGCTATCTGAGGGAACCTGAATGGTGGCGATGAGTTGTACATCCGATGATTATATCGAGAAAACTCTTTAAGAGAGAAGCGATAGCTAATGCGGTCGTGAAAATGAAGAAGCGACCGCCTTGAATATGCGCTCGAGCACTATGCTTCATTCGAAAGGCAGAGAACGAGTAATAATAGTAAATTTTCAAAGGTATCTTTCTGGAAGTAGCGTTCTTGTCTACATTTTTTAAAATGACATCTACTGCATTACTAATAAAACCTAAAGTTGACTCAATGAAAATTGATGCATTTATAATAACAATCAAAACACCATAAGATTTCTATGTACTGTGTAGTCACATTATTCAAAAATAATGGCAGATGTGAATTCCAACTAAAAGGTTTCTGAATTGAGCAAAATAAATATTGCTACAAGAACAAGAGGATTTTTAGGGAACAATTGTTTTCGAGAACTTCTTTCTCAGGCTCCACAGAAATAAAACCCGTGATTACTGGAATACGAATAGCCATTCAAGGCATGCGAAAATTATATCACAAAAAGTATACGGGTGCATGTATAATATGGAATGGTAGTTCGTTAGTTAATATTGTCAGATGAATGTATATAAAATGTACAGTTGTTTCGAACATAAGATAAAATGTCCTTTCAACTTGACCTAAATTCATTTTTTCTCACCTCTTAATTCTTTATTAATTTCATGTATATATTCCTATGACAAGGCCGTGTGTGATCAAATTGTTCGGAAATGTGTTACGCAAGAACATGACACGATTCAGACAAACTATTTCTCATTGATGATGTATATATATATATATATATATATATATTTCAGTGGATTACATATAATGATAAGTTTTTGTTGTTCGGTAATACTTCGAACAAAATTACTGCCCGTGATGACACCAACACCAGCTAACCAGCAAAAAGAAATAAACGTCTTGACTAAAGGTCAACCAACAGGAACACAAGCTTACAAGAATTTAGAAAATAATTCATTTATAGCTGTACATGCATGGGAGAAAAACAAAAATATCGATTGGAACAATGTTTGCATTCTAAAAACTAATACGAACAGATGGAAAAGGGTGACTTATACAGAATCTATATTCATTAAAGTCACATCGGATACATGTAACAAGGGTGACTCAGCAAAGCTATCAACAACCTGAAATATAATTCTGAATACACAAAAGTGAATGAACAAAAAATGAACTATATACATGAGAACAAATTATAAATGTGTGAATTAAAAACCAAACAATACCAAACAACAAAAACTTATGAAAAGGATGCATATTTGTGTAATTTTGTTTTTAAAAAGTGTATACTCATTGTTTACTCATTAACACGATTAGTTTGTTCAACGTATTTTCATTACTATTATTTCCCAAGGTTCCACACCACACCTCCAATTTGTGGTGTTCTCTACCCCCCTTTTTAGCTGACTCCGAAATTGACCATAAGCTCTTATTTCCTCCTCACACGATCTCCTCCATATTACTCTCGGTCATCCTACCCATCTCTTTCCATTCGAGTTCCACCGGGAATTGAACCAAGTGCTCATCGTTTCAAACAAAAAGGCGTTATGCCCTAGATCACTCTGGTCATTCTTTGTGTTCTCTCTGGTGGTGGGTCGTTAGGGCTTCAAGCTGTGCAGTTTTCAGTAGCGCTATGGTGTTATTGTTGGTTTTTTTTGCAGAATAGGGTCAATAACTTCACGTCCAACCTTGTCTGTACGTCGGTAGGGCACCAAGCTCAAACCTTTTGGTTAGTCCAGATTTCAGCCGGTAAAATGCAATCATACATTCATTCCCCTTTATCAACTGGAACAAATCACAAAAAGCAATGTGCGTCGGTGGCATAGTGGTTAGGACTCTCGCCAACCATGCACATGGTCCAGGATTCGATCCCTTGCCGACGTACACCTGATATCTATGGTCGGCCTGCGAAATTTGGGCTATCGATATCAAATGCTGAAAATTCCATACCTGTACCAAAAATACGGCCTGGAATCAAGCTGTAAACAAAAATTTAAAAAAAAATAAAAATTATCATTGTATGCAATCCACTGAAATATAATTCTCCTTTATTTGAATTGTATTTTTGTTTGACATACTTAATGTACACATACGTACATAATAACCTATATATACAGATAAAGCAATGTGACGTAGTTTAAAACAATTAGTTCCCTTTATGAATATTTAGACAAAGCAGTAAGAAGACGTAATTTGTATGAATCGTGTCATGTTCTTGCGTAACACATTTCCGAACAATTTGATCACACACGGCCTTGTCATAGGAATATATACATGAAATTAATAAAGAATTAAGAGGTGAGAAAAAATGAATTTAGGTCAAGTTGAAAGGACATTTTATCTTATGTTCGAAACAACTGTACATTTTATATACATTCATCTGACAATATTAACTAACGAACTACCATTCCATATTATACATGCACCCGAATACTTTTTGTGATATAATTTTCGCATGCCTTGAATGGCTATTTGTATTCCAGTAATCACGGGTTTTATTTCTGTGGAGCCTGAGAAAGAAGTTCTCGAAAACAGTTGTTCCTTAAAGATCCTGTTTTTCTTATGGCACTATGCAGATTTTCTATCTACTGAAATATTTCCCATAGTTTGTTTTTAAGAAGCTGATCACGGATTGATATCAGTTAGAGAACCATTGAATACCCACGAGGGAGTACAGGGCAGCTGTTTCATTCTAGTTTTGGAATCATCGGCAGTACGCATCCACTACCAGGGTTCGAACCCTGGACCTTGTGATTATTATACAAAGATAGGGCAGAGAAATGTTTTTCGCAAACTATCTCCTCTCACCTATAAGAAATACTACGTAGTTTGCTTTTAATTCATTTCTAATAAGTTGAAGATATTTGCGAATTCCTTATCTGCCATATCTTACTCATATATGCAGTATTTCGAATAAACTTTTAAAACAGTATGCGTATATGATGTCTTTTGCTTATTGTATGATGTTTAAGCATCTCCAAACTATGAATTCATTTAGCTTAAAGCTAAAAGTTGTTCATTATTAATGAATTTGTAAAGACAGGTAAACAACTTAAAGATGAGAAATACTTTTCTATTCTGAATAAGCGAGATATCGCCTTTTAATTGATGGGTATAAAGTATGAGGAACCGAATCAAGAATTTATTTAAAAGTCATGATTAATGGAATCCAGGAACCACATTTCCTTCAGCTCGCTATTTTTCAACACACAATTTCAGAAAATTCACGCCGAATACAAAAACAAAAGTTTGTATAAAAAGTCTAATCAAAAGGCATTAATCGGTATAAAGTAGTTAAGCTAAGATTTCTGTAATGGGAAGTGAACTGACCTCATAGGGGATTTCATAACAGTTTGACAACATTTAGAGAGCTGCTAAAATCTAGTGAGTGCCGGATAGCTAGCTAGCTAGCTATCTTACCTTATATCTCAGTAACTTATCACGGTTTGAGTCAAAAATGTTTTGAGAAAAAAGTTACTCAGTCATTCACAGTAAAACGCAATGCTCGCCAGTTGATAAAACAATGCTATTGTTATTCGATGATGAGCTATCCATTTTAGGAAATCTCTTTGGAAGCTTTCAAATAAAAAGAAATATACCGATAGAGAATTGTCAGAATTTTAGATAATCAGCTGACTTGATGAGGCGACATAATGATAGGTTTCATCTTGAAGTAGGCGTCACCAGGAGGATAACTTGATCTCTGTGTTTGCTAGACCAACAAACCATCATAAGTGTAAGGAAGTTAGTTCCCATTAAATATATCGATAACGAATGGTGTTTCAAATGAATTATGTCGTCTTAATGTTGTATTGTACTGGGCTACCTTGTCGATTTTGAAAATAATATACCGATTTCTCTTACTATCAGACAATGCTTTACTGGAACTTAAAATGCAGTGAAATTTAGTAAATGGAATTACTGAAGCTGGACAAAACCTCTAGTATAACAAATACCTAATGTTAGGTGCTCAGTCCATTAGAATTAGCAGTTCAATACTAATCACCACAGAGATTTTCTTTCAGGTCTTTGTTGTAAACCATCTTCTCAATATGCAATGTTTTCCCCTATCGAATTTTCATATCCTCCTGCACAGTACTTGAAATGATACATTTTTGAAGAGATCACTTTAGGAAAGCTTTGACTTTTATGATTGCGTGTTTCTTTAGAACGGAAGATAAATATTAGGTTTAGCTGTTGACTAAATACTTCTATATCCTGATACAGAAAATCAGCGAACTGTGGTTTCTAGCTGCTTCGTGCTGAAGTTGATGACTTTGTGTTTAACACCTAACATTAAAAACTCCAGAGGATATAGAAACACGGTTCAGCAAACAACTTCACTCAGAGTAATTAATATATATATATATATCAAAATTTCGGATTCATACTTCGGTAACAGTAAAGAATCCGTCGATTTTGAAAAAAAGGCAATCTACCAAAATATGATCAGAAAAATAAATACTTACAATAATTTCTTCACCATAATACTAATGCCCGATCTGAAGTAACGAAAAGACACGCATGGATCTCGAAGTCTAGAATGATAATATTGAATTTGATTCTCACTTTCACTATAAATTGAATGATAACATAATCAGTAATAACAGGCCTCAGATGTGGCAGTTCCATGATAGAGACTATCTAATTAGTTGAAAAGAAGGTTTAGCAAGAACTAGTAATATCTGATAACTTTACAAATATTACATAATGCAATTATGAGGCTCACTCCACAAATATATGAATCGATCAAAAGTTTGAGAGGGAGACAAGACAAAACAACCAAAA